CGACCGGGCCCATTGTGCCGCGGGAGGAGGGGGCCGAGCGGGCGCCCATCTGCCGTCTGCCGCGGCCGTGCTAATAGGCGTGCTGCCCAAGCAGCTGCGCCCCGGGCCGCGCGCCCCCGGCCGCGACCCCCAACTCCTGGCGGCGGCGGGCAGGGAGGTGGCCCTACGCGTCCTGCGGGCGGACCAGGCCACCTTGGCCAGGCTCAGGCCTTCCTCCACGGTGAGAGTGGGAGAGTACCGAGGCGCCTCGGAGGGCTGGACAGCGCCTTGCACTCCTCCTAGCCGCTGTTTGGAATGTCTGCGACAGGGCACTGCCCCAGGGGAGGGACAGGGAGGCTGGTACCCGGCCCTATTCGGGATCCCAGGCCATAGATTGCAAAACCCCAGCCTGTGGGAGGAGGGAGCTCCTTGGCTGGTCCTGGCTGTCTTTCTGGTGATCAGGCTAGGTCCCAGCCTAGCAGCCATCCCCTCATCCAGCTGGCCAGGCGTTCACAGAGTGGCTTTGTGGGAGGCCAGCCTCAGCCATTTTCTTTCTTCTCCCAGGATGGGCCTTCCTGGCAGCCCAGAGGTCCGGTTGGCACTGACTGCTTCTCCCTGTCTCTCTGGGAAGTTCCTTAGACCTGGGTCCGGCAGGGGAGAGGAGGAAGGGAGGAGGAGGGTGCAGCGGTGCTGGTCCCACCCCGCTGGTGCAGGGTGGGGGCCCAGGAGGGAGCTGCTCTGGCCAGGGAGGCCGCAGGCCCTTCCCAAGCCCCCGTTGGTGGCACAGAAGTGGAGCTAGGAGATGCTGTTAGGGAGGAAAGTGGGCCAGGCCCTGGGCTCTCCGGGGAGGGCAGTGGCTGTGATGTAACTAAGGCAAAGCGCCTCGGAAGGGACCTGGCAGGGGGCGGGGGGAGCTGCCCCTCTCCCACTCTGGGTAGACAGCCCCTGTTCCAACTACTGAGGCCCTGAGGGACCCCTGGCAGCAGGGCAGCACTTGTTGGGAGTGGGGGTGGTGTGGCCCGGGGTTCAAGGAGGAGGTGGCAGATCGCCGGTGTTCATCTGAGTTGAAAATATGCATGTTTCCTACAAGGATCAACTGTAGTTGGTGAAATCCTCAGTGGGGGAGGGACCTGGGGCAGCAGAATGTGGGAAGCAGTGAAATAATCTAATTATCGTACCAATAAAATGTGATTATAAGGAAGCATCGTCGTGTGAGTGGTGACAGCAATGAATTATACGTGTGCCGTGCTCAGTCGTCTCCATGGCAGGGGCTGGTCTCCGTACTCTTCATCGAGTTATCTTGTTGTACAGTTAATTACAGGAGGTTTCCACTGTAATTAACAGTAATGAATACAAAAGGCTATGCCGCGCGTGTGTGTCAACAACACGTTGCCATATGATGTTTAGAAGCAGCTCCAAGTGGCACACAAAGCTAGCAGCCTTCCTCCTCGGGTCCCTCTCCCCTTTGAGGGGAGTCGGCGGTTGGTCTAGCTGAGGCCCCCTCCCTGGGGGGGTCTGTCCATCCTGTGTTCCTTCTGGCTTCACCAGACACCTGCATCCCAGGAGGGCTTCGGGGGAGGCCGTCCTCTTGGTGCTGTCTCTCTGTCCCTTCTGTTGAAGGGTCATCTGGAGTTTGGTGGACGTGGGGCCTTGGGGTTGTGGGTGCACTGGGCCTGGCCACTGGGCTTGCTGGCTGGTCTTCGGCATCAAATGCCAAGAGAGTTGCAGTTTCCCAGGCCTGTCCTTTTGCTCCGGAGATAAACGTCTGACCTTATCTGGGGCTAGGCTTTCTGCCAGGAGACCTCAGCGGAAGAATGAAGGACTGTAGTTCCAAGTGCTGGCTCCCTCCCTGGACGACAGCGTGCCTGGGTCCTCCCTGCTCTTCACTTGAGCTCTGCCCAAGTCCTGCAAAGGGAAGCTGCAGTCAGGGAGGGAGTCAGCGGGCAACCGCTGGGCCTCTCAGCCCGGCAGGTCCCGAGCCAGGGCCCTTTGGCAGATGGGCCTGCGGCTCTGCCCAAAGATGAGGCCTTCCGGAATCAGAGGCGGGGTGGGGGGCCGCTGCCCAGTGTGGAGTGCAGGTGTGGGTGGGGCTGCCCCCTCCGCCCAGCCAGACACCCCTCTGGTGGCAAGGATGGTCCAGCTTACACTGTTTATTGCATCTTTTCAGTGGCCAGGCTTCTTGTGTGGTGTTGGGCTCAGCAAGCGGGTTCTATCACTCACGTTGGTGTTAGGCCGCCTTTCCCGGGCTGGTGTGGCTGTGGTTTCGAGGGCATCTTCCTTCTTCCTGGGCATCTCCGCACAGCTGTCCTTAACATCCTGGGGTCGCCTGTATCGGCAGCCCTGGGGAGGCCTCTGTCCCAGGCGGTGTCGTGTTTTCTGGTGGGGGGATGGGTCTTTAGGTTCTGCTGGGGGACAGGGGTCACTGCCGAGGCTGTCTGTCCTGTCCCTGATGCAGGAAAGGCTTCTTTGCTGGAGGGGAGGGGGCACATGCAGAGGGTGCAGGGGGTTCCCGAGCAGGTCCAGGCGGGCATGTTGTGGCCGCCATGTGGCCTTCTGGCCTGTATCACTCTGGTCCCTTCAGGACATGGAGCAGGGCAGCAGATGTGGCTGGGGCTCCGTTCCCAGAAGCCTGGAGGACAGCAGGCTCTGTGTGCTGTTTCCAGAGCTGGGGCCCACAGGAAGATGTGGGGCTCTTGGAAACCCTTTGTCTGTTGGTGGGAACTGAGGAGGAGGTGGCTGGGGCAGGACTGTCAGATGAAGGGTCAGTCCAGCTCACGAGAGATGGTGGGGCTGTGGGGACCGCCCCGCAGCTCACCTGGCTGGGCTTGCAGACTGGTGGGTGGGCCAGAGGGAGGAGCTGGGACTGCCACACTGAGGGAGCTGGGATGTCCCCTTCAGGTCCTCGAGGGACCTTTCGGAGAATTCGTATGGGGTGCTGGAGTCAGGCAGGCTGGAAAGGAGTCCTGAGGTGGGGGAAGCCAGCAAAGATGGGACAGGTGAGGGAGGGGGAGACAGGTGGGCCCGCAGGTACTCCATGGCCCAGAGCTGGAGCAGATGGGAGAGCAGAGGCAGGAGTGGGAGGGGAGGTGTCTGGGGCATGGAGGACGTGTTTGGCTTTAGAAAGTTGAGCAGAAGGCAGCTTGAGAGCCAGTGAGAGGCTGCAGGGTGTGGGCCCTGGAGATGGCGGGGGTGGGGGGACTGGCTGGAGTCGGCCCTGGGGTGCCGTTGGGGGCTGAGGCCCAGAGAAGGGGTGCCGCCAGAGCAAAAGTAGGGAGACTGAGCGGGGAGCCAGGTGGGCCTCTGCTGGCTGTGTGTGGACTACCTGCTGTGTCTGAGGATCGCTCCCGGCCCCGTGAGCCTCCGCCCTCGGTGCTGCAGGCATGCCTCTGTCTGTCTAACCCGCCTACCAGCCTGGAAGCAGGCTCAGAACAGAGTGCTCTGCTCAAGGGCAGCAGCTCTTTGGGGATCGGGGGAAAGCCCAGCCTGCTCATGGCACAGGCTCGGTTTAAAAGTTCAAAGTAGCAGGACCCTATTCTCAAACAGTTGTGGTCAGAGCTCCAGGGCATGTAGGGAGCCCCCATGCCTGTCTCCCTGGGCCCCCTGGAGCTGTTGGAAAGGCCTGTGTCCCACCAGCGATCGAGCAGGACAGACCCCACCCTAGACCCCCTCCCACAGTGCAGGCTCTCCCCCGGAAGCCCCCGGCTTGGGCTGAGAGCTGTCCCTGGGTGGGCTGTCCCTGTCAATGGAGGGCAGCTCAGCTTGGAGGTTTCTGGGGTCACGCCTTGAAGGATGGGCCGTTTCCCAAAGGTAAAGATGGGAGGGACCTGGAGGTGGCCCAAGGCCTAGGACCCTGGTCTCAAAGTGCCCCGTGCCCACTGCGACGCTGCAGCTCCGAGCGCCTCAGTTTTCGTGGCTCCCGCCCGCTGCGGTCAGCTGCAGCTCCGAGCGCCCCCGCAGCGGCAGTGGTGACAGCTCTCTTGGGCCTGGGGAGCCATGTGTATCTGGGAGGACCTACCAGGCGGAGGGCACAGCCTGGGCGGCAGTGCAAAGGGGAAACCAGGTGCTGCTGGGCTTGGCTCTAGCCGCGGGGTTCCCGCAGGACGCCCCCACCCAGGAAGAGCATGTCCTGCGCCCAGGTGCCCTGTTGCCTCTCGAGCCATCTGGGACCGGGGTGCTTGCAGCTGCAAGTGCAAAGGCCGGGCCAGAGCGGATCCTCACGGAAGGCTCGAGGGGTGACAGCCACCCAGGACTGTGTTTGGGGGAGAGGAGCATCGAGGTGAGGGGCTCCAGGTCCTGCCCCGTACCCCGCCTGCCTGAGGGTGGCCAGGG